TTGACTCTGGACTGCAGCCTTTGAGGCCAAGCTCAGCCTTGAGTGTTAAGTGGCTGCTAAGTATTTCCCTTCTTGTCTCAATGCTAACTAACTGCTGGGAGAAGGGTGCATATTCCAGGAGGGCTGGGGAAGGCGGATATGATAAAGGGGAGACAGAAGAGCATCCTCTTTTCTTCAGTTCAGGAGCACAGCTTTGTGGCCAGATACCTCAATCCACAAACCTGCAAGAGGAAAAGCCTTGCGTTAAACTTATAATGTACAACTTTTCATTTACATGAGCCACTTTCACACGTTCCCTTCCAAAACAGTTCCCCGTCACTGCTGAAACACAGCCTCCGTCAGGGTGGGCACAGGCATGTGGCCAGTCCCCCCAGCACACTGCACCTCGGTCCAGAGAGCCTGTTGTGAATTAGCATTGAGCTGTTACCAACAGGCCCTCTCCAACCAACTGTTTTGTTTTGCCAAATGTGATTTTTGCTTTCTGAGAGCACAGGGAAGATTTGGGGGTGATACTATTTGGGGCTCAGCATGGGGTTTTCAGCCCTACAGAGGTCTGCCTTCTGCGGGGCCCCTTGCACAGGTCCCAGGGTAAAACAGCTGCATGGCAATGTACATCTAACATGCCTGAAGACACCAGACTTTTCCCAGGAAAAGCAATCAAACCCAGCTGTAAAAATGGGGAGAAAGGTGCCATGTCCTACCATCAGAAGAAAATGCTGTGTTACGTGAGCTGCTGTAAGGAACTGGGTAGGAATTGTTCCTTAGGCTACCCCATGATAGGAAATTATACATACTACTTCTTCAGAGGATCTCAAAACACTTTGCAAGCTTTTACCATTCCTGTAGCTGCCCACAGAGACTTGCTCATAAAGCTGCCCAAATTCAGACTGTGCCCATGCCATCAGAGCTCAGCCGCTCTGTCGTGACCGACCCTGCTCCGTTCACTCAGTCAACTCAGTGCTGTCTGAGGAATTGCACTTGTATTGCCTTTTTTTCTGTATGAGATGTCGGTCACTAACAAGGACAAGGAGTCACATGTTTCGAGGCTGGCACAGCCATAGGAGCAATAGTTTCATCAGGCTTTTTCTCTGGAAAAACACAGCTTTTCCCCATGGCCCTGTGTGCATAATCAGGCCCTGTTTGCTCGGCAGCGAGCTGAGCCTGTGTTTAAGGGGCAGGTTCGTGGATTCTGAAGCCGTCTGGAGAGTCTGAGGCCACTTCATGTTTTTAATTAAGTATGAAGCTAAGTAACTGTCAGTGTAGGGCTATCTACTTATTTTATTTTGGGTCCAGTTAATGACATGCTGTCTTCCCACGTTTTCAGTATTCATCCCGTGCAGATGGCAGAGTATCCTTCATAATGAGTTGCCAAGATGCTCTGGGACTGTGGCCTGCGTGTGCCAGGTGGGAATCTCTTAAATGCCAGTAAGGCGATCTTCATGTTTCAGAGGGGAGTATCTCTTAAATGCAGTTTGCACTTCTCCATGTTATTTTTTCTCACTTGTGTAAACTCAGGCAGACAACACTGCTTCACTTAAGCCCAGTGTTATTAAAGCTAATATGATAACGCTTTCTCACAACTGTGCACGCAGAGGGAAATCTGCAGGGGTTGGATTGCTGGCTACTGCACCCGAGTGCTGATACAGATGAGCAATGATCCAAGACTGGCTCTTTCAAGAGATCATTATTACTAATCTGGATTTCTGTTGCTTTCCAGCAGTCTCCTGGACAGTAACTTCATGCCTCGTACTTGAGCTTGCTCTCAGGGCAGAATGCTGTCCTGGAAGTTCTGCCTAGACTGAGGTGGTGTATCCCGCACAGCCACTTGCAGGCTCAGATCCTGCCAGCCAAAGCCTCCTGCTAGCTGACATGCGTTGTCTGTTCTCCTGCGGTCTGAGAGCCCCAGACACCAGTCAGAGATGGCAAGATGATCACCCTGTCTGGGAGAGCTCCCAGTTCAGAAGGTAGGAATGGGGGAGGGTATATGTGCAAACCAGTTCCCTACAGGGTCCTGTTGAGTGTTAAGGGTTAAAGCTTCACTTCAGGCAGGAGAAGTGCCAGAAAACATTTGCCTTACTACAAAACCCAGAGGAGAATGTTTCTTTCTAATCACCTCCTCAAAGAGATGCAAAGCAAAAGCTCTTGGCCTCTGCTTTTGTCATCACACATCCCCTCCCTTCTGTGCTGCCCTACCTCGTCCCCTTCAGCATAGCAGGAGAGCCTACTGTTAGAGCTAGGCACAGCAGGATTTTTACCTGCTGCTGTAAATGAGCTTGGAGCAGAGCTGTGTATGTCACTGACTTACACATGTCAGACCCACTATCTCTCCCATCCCTTTCCACACCCCCAGCCTTCAATTTGCCAGTGAATTGTTAGACACCAGCACATTCACCTCTGACTTCCCAGCAAACTGCCTGAGGGCGCTCCATGGACAGACAGACAAGAGGGTAATGTGCTAAATTCCCCCTTTGCTGGTGATGAATTTCATGGGGATTGCTCCTGTTAGCCACGCTTTCCAGCAATAGTACAAATTCACTTCCCCCCCCCTCCACCTTCAAAACCTTTCCAGTGCAACTAGAATGGCTGGGAGAAAGCTAGTTGTTAACTAGTCAAGGGTAATTAATGACTCCACCTTCCCCATCAATCAGCTGAGAAAAGACAAAAGGATTTGAGTACTTGTAGCAAATGTGTGTTCTCTAGACATGCTGATATGCAGTGTGCAAATGAAGTGGCAGCAGGAGACCATCTCATACCCTTTCGTGGAAGAAGCAGCAAGTCATGATACACATCCCACGCTCTTGTCAGGTGAAGAGTCTGAAATTCCCAGTGCTGCTGCTGCTGTTGTGCAGTTTCATACTGTGTGGGATGTTGATCCATGTCGCTGCTAGCTTGAATCTGACCCAATTTTTGTTCTATTTTTCCTTTTCAGATTCTGATTATGGTTGTCTTCCTCTTTCTACAATTAAAATACTAGCATTAGAAAAGCGGGACATGGAGGGGGCAGGTTTGATGCTGGCTTTCCTTTTGTGGCAGAGCAGAAAAGCATTTCTGCATCCTGTTTTGTTTGTGTCTGGTAGTGGCTGTGCAAGTACAAGCAGAGGAGATTTGACCTTGATACCATTTTCAGCTGATCTTTTCCCTTCTGATTTATTTTTCCATGTATGTAATAAATAACCTCCAGTTGAGCTACAAGTTGATGTTGCTCCATCACGTGATAGTCTTCTCCTCAGTGGTACTGAGACTCCCCAGTTCTGGGTATCCTCAGCTGAAGGAGAAGAGCCTGTGGTCTTCTGTATTACCCCGTAGTTTTAAGGGGATGTCAGGAAGGCTGGATGTGGTCCTTCAAAGGTGGCAGGATCCAACGGACCATCTCCTGCTATAAAATCCTCCTCGGGACTTCTCAAACTCTCCAACCCCTTTCTTTTAAACATTCTTCCTTGCCACACTAAGCATTGGCCTTTCTCTCCCTGCCTAGTAATGGGATGCCTAAAATTCAATATACTATTGAAAAAGAGCCTGTCCCTCCTCTGGTTAACCTCCTTTGTCCTCTTTGCTTGTCCTTGCATTGCCTGCTCCAAAAGGCAGTAAAAGCAGAACTAACAGGATGTTGATCAGTTATAGAAACTGACTAAATTCGGAATATGTTTTGCATGTCAGACTAAAAATCAGATGTCCCAATAACACCACTAGCAAAATAAAAAAATAAACGTTTATTTTATTGGGAGCAAAACTAGACCATGGATCAGCTGCAGCCTAATAGCAATGCTCTTTGAAATGAACAGAGCTCCTGAATTTGCTGTGCAGGATCCAACGCTGGCCCATTGAGACTGATATCCTACTTTTGACCTCCTCTTTTTGAACATCTTTGACCTTTAAATGTTAGTATAGCAATTTCTGTACATGAATGCATAGAACTCCCTTCTTCACCGAGGTGTACTGGCTGTTTTGTGCCCTGAAGCGTGAGACTTGATTGCTGTCTCTTAGCACTTGTAAGCACTTGTAAGTACAAAAGCTAATGGTCACACTTGCAGAATAAACTAATTAAGGGAAAATGCTCAAGTCCTTCAGTTTCTGCTCAGCCTTTCCATTCAGTAAGAGCAGTGCCTCGAACAAGGCCTAAAACCAGTGCCTGATCCACCACGAGACTCTTCGATCACTTGCACTAACCCTGGAAGGTGCCAGCTGAAGAAGTTTGGTGCCAGTAAAATTATATGCTAGCATGGCTGTGTCATTAAACAATTGCAACTTTTACTCATGAAGCTCAGCTGAAAAGATACTACCTGTAGAGCAGGCTCAGTCCTGAGCTTCAGAACAGATCTGATGCGATGGTGAGGACCCTGCTGCAGAAAAACAGCGCAATAGGAAAATAAGCTATGTGGTTAAAGGCTGTGAACGGAGAGATCAGGTAGGTAAGTAACGTTACATCATCAAATGTGTTTCTGTTAGTGGAGAAGACATCTGTTGGTGAATGAATGTGTTGCTGCAGCATCCCAGTTGTGAGAGCAAACTTTACCACAGACTGTTAATCACCCGCTTGGGAAGGAACAAGCTTGATACAGTCCCGATTCTGATACCAGAAATCAAGAGTAAAATGATTCTGTACTCTGGAGATGAAAATTATATCAAGTCCTTAGAGTAGCCAGAAGGAAAATTTTCCTGCTTGCTGTTTAAATGATTTTTTTTATTTTGTAGGTAGGTCTTCGACTGATGTTTTTGGTCTTGTCTCTATTTGTTTAAAAGTGCGTTAGCAGTAAATCAAGGTGCATTTCCCCTGTAGGGTTTCCTGTATGTCAAAGCCATGTTAATTCTCTTTGATTTTCTTCCCTTAGCCCCAGCCATTGCGGCAGATCCTTCCTCTCTTTGTCCCTTTGGACATCAAAGGATTGCAAGGGGACAGCCCTGGTGAGAAGCTCCTCCCCGCTCATTAGCCTCCATAAAACAGGAACTCACCTTGGCTAGCTGTGCTTGGAGTCCCATCCTCATCCCACTCACTCTTGACACTGGATCTCAGAAGGAAGGGCTTTTGCTTGCTCCAGGAAATCAGACCTGCTTTTGAACTGGACTATTTTGGCTCCCCTTGTAAGAACTCTGGTGGCTCTCTCAGCCGCGCGACCTCCTAGACTCCACAGTACATGGAAAAATGCAAGCTTTACCAGGTAGGTAAAGGACTCCCTCCTTTTCCTTATTGCGCGGAAAGATGCTAGACCTATGCGAAGAGCATACAATCATTTTAGAAAGAGAACAAGTACTCCTGAAGGGTTACCACATTTACAGTAGCGTGTGTGTAGCTGGAGAGGATTTCTAAAAATTTTTTTTTTTTTGGTAGGAATAGATGAGAAATTGTGGTTCTGAGTGTTCTTTGTGAGCCTTGGAAGATCTTTTGTAATGTAGCAAAGGTTTACTCACAATTGTGCCCAAAACTCCCTTATCCATATCACCTTGTGCAGTGTTATTTGTATATCGTCTGCAAAGTACCCTGAGTTCCTCCAGGTTGAAGGCCACGGAAGTTTTGGAAATATTTGTTATATTGCTAATAATAGTTCTGATACAAACTGTCTGTTTTTTCTTTTGTTTTTTCTCTGCCCTTTGAAAGTATAAACCCCAAGCAGGCATACCCCACCTCTACCAGGTTCATGCCCAAACACAGGATTTTTGTGATTTCCCTAGGGTTTTATTTATGTTTTTCTTCATCAGTCTGTCTTACAGCATGTTGTTAACCTCTTCTGCATGGGGCATGATTGGATTGGGCCCAATGACGGATATGCATTGGGAAACTAAGGGCCAGTCCAGAGGTACTGCATGTCAGTAACTGAAACCCAAATCTAGTCTTGGGTTTTACTCTGTGTCAGAAGGAAACAACTATTTACCTAGTTCAGGTATGCAGTTCACACACATGTTACAGATGGCTGGGTATTCTCAGCTTCCTTTCTCTACCTCTGCAATGTCTTGTTTCATTCATAACCAAAATACATGTGCAGTGCCTCAGATAATTTCCACCTTCGCTGTTGTTTTGGGTTTTTTATAAAGCAGTCCATACTGTGTTGATCTGATTCATACTGATTTCTGCCACTTCAAGAGAATGTTGACTTTAAAAGCAAAAGAGCAACAACAAAAAAATCACAGACTGTATTACGATATTTTATCACATTAAAGATTCTAACTATTGCAGAAGTCACCTCATTTTCTTATTGAGTTGTTTCTGGTGCATGACCCCACACAGCAGAAATATTCAAGGTCATGACTGGGTGCGTTTGAGAGGTGAAGCCATTTCATTTGTAGAAACACCATACTTTCATTACTGCCAAAAAGCTTTCTGGTTCTGAGAAATGAGGTTCCCTCCAGAAGGTTAGGGTGTTTCTACTGACATTTATAAGATCAGAGAACATGCGGGTTTTTTGGTTGTTGGCAAGTTTAATTTCTCAGATAGCTTTATATATCGATGTGCATTTCCTCCCTGTGGACACTGGATAGCTGTTAGTGTTGGACTTCTTCATTGAGAAGTTAACAGCAACAAATGTAACTGGTTATAGTGAAGGTAAGAAGCATCCTTTTATCTTGGAGTTTTCCCGGTATTGCAAACCCTATCCCATACTTTGTGGGAAGTCTGCAACAGATTTTCTGACATCATAATATTGTCTCAGTAATTGACAATTAAATTCATTGAGGGACTGCTTTAGGTGAGTGGATTATACTCTAGCATCTTCTATCCAAAGATCTTAAACCCACCCCCCCCAAGTGTTACTGAATTGACTCTCATTTCTCTTTCTCTCCTTTCCAAGATGGGAAAAGGGATATGTACAGCCTATTCTAGATGCAGAAACTTGAAGGACAGACTGCTCTTATTTGGATAAGGACTTTAAAATCAAGCATGAAATAGATTGGAGATCTCTTAATTTTCAGTGCCTTTATCACAGCAGCTATCTTCCTTTTCAACCTAATCTTGGCATAAGGAATATGTTTTAAAGTGTGCCACATGCAGTGTTACCACCACAATGATGATGATAATGAATACTTTTAAAATAGCTTAGAACTAAAAGTCTTGGAAAATGTTTAAATCTCTTTCAAATAATACTTAAAATAAAAAAATAAGTTACATGGAAGAGGAAACAATAGAAGTACAGATCTAACATGTTCAGTTCAGTGCTTGGACACCCTGCTACAAAACTCTTCGTGCTGTAGTTCCAACACGCAGGCATCTTTGTGGGGGACGTGTGTGTGAGTCTTGGCATTAGTTATGTAGGCACAAACCAGGAGTGAATTTGGAGTGCCTTGCAAGCCAGCCTTTGGCTCTGCAAAGAAAATCTGAAGCAGATCCTACAGACCGATCCAGCGCTGCAGAATCCCACTGAAGCCGATTGCATAGGACTGTGTAGTCAGCTGTGTGGATCCCTTAGCAAGCTCACACCATTGCTGGAGTCCGGATCCCCATGCAGACTGTTAATGTCCTGTTTCTCGGCTTCAGACTGCGCACAAAAAAACCTGCAGGGTGAAAGACAGTAACTCCATTTAAAAATCTTTGCTGCGATGTTTATTGTGTGTGCAGCTCTTTGTCTCCTCTAGCATCTCGCTCATACAGGTGCATTGTGGACTCTTTTTGGTGAAAAACAGGTTATAACATCTGCCTTTCATTTTTAATTCAGTACTGAACTCCTTTCACTTAAATTCGTCTTGATTTCATTGGAAGTCTCCCCTCAGTAACGACTCCCGAGATCTGCCTTGTGTAGTCTCATTTAATGGCACTGGAATTTGCTTACAAAAATGTTAATTGTAAAATTCATTTGGGGAAGGAGCGAGCATCTGTCTGGCTAATCAAAATCTGTTTGCATGTATTTGTGACTGGATGACTCCTGTGGGAAATCAGCCCAATTTTATTGTAACTCCTTTTGATACGTGCGCTGCACTGAGCTACCGAATGCGTCGTCCCATGGCAGCTTTCATGTCTTTGCAAGAGGATATGGGGGAAGCTTTAGTAAGAAGATGTTAACAGGCTAATCTTAGTGAGCAAACTAGGTGTCACTTCTTAGCCAGTTCATTAATGTTGGATCAAAGAAGAAAAAAGGGTAGAGGATATTTTTTTAAAATGCCTAAAGACCTTTACAAACTGACAAAATTACGTTTAAATGGTTTTTACTTCCTAATACTGTGGGAAGAACCCCTTAGACTCGCATTGGGTTGTTTTTGTGGAAAGATGTTGCTTTCTGAGAAAAGCCGATTTCTCTAGAAATAGTTGTCTGCTTTTCATACTTATTCTTTTGAAGACATTACTCAGGAGAGCTGCAACAAGGCGAAAATTCCCTTATTTCTGATCTGCTCTGAATACGATCTGATCAGGCTGAGAGGCAGAAAAATCTCCTTTTTAAATGAATAGCTGTGCATGGCTGATAATGCGTCACCCAGCAGAAGTGGCACACTGCTGCTGTGAGTGCCCCCCGAGTTGAGCAGGCCTATCAATACCTCATTCAGACCGCAGGGCAGCATCAGTAAAGCCTCATTGGGTATGAAATCAGTCCACCAGTAGCTATACCAGGTCAAGTTTTGTCCTAAAATGGATCTGGTTGGGGTTTTTGGCCTGGGCTTTTCAGTATGGCAACAGCAATCTTGCGTGTGTTACAGTATAGTTAAGAGCACCTAAAGGAGGTTTTTAATCTAAACGGCTTTACAGAGGAGGTGGGTACCATCAACACCAGAGACAGCTTCTCCAGTACTTCACCTTTCCTCTTCCACAGGACCATAGTTAGTCCTCTGCCTGTAACAGAAAGTGCAGGCATATTGCGGGCAGCTCCTCGGATGTGCCATGGCGTGTTACTGAAGAGGCACCTTCCCCCGCTGTCACACACTCCTCGGTGGTCTCCATCTCCAAGTCCGGTTCAGACCAGCTGTCTTCTTTTCAGAACATTCCATGGTCTGGCTCTGTCACCTCCCTTTCTTGCCTTCACTTACATTTGGGTCTGCTGTCTGTCCCTTCTTTGTCCTGTGGAGAGTTTTTTCACCTCTGCTACCACCTATCTGTCGTTTTCTCCCATTACCCACTGGTACACTTAAAATCTTTCCAATCCTTTCAGCTTTCATTTTATTCTCTTGGTAAAGTGTTTTGTGTAATCCTGATCATGCCAGAACAGGAATAAAAGTGTATTGTGGCTACCTGCCAGTCTGAGTTTTGGAATAAAGGAAGTCAGGTTGAATTTTTACAACACACAAATCTTTACAAAAGAACTTATCAACTAAAAACAAACCTGTTGGAAAAGCCTTTCTGCCTACTGAGCCTGCTAAGTAACAAAAAGCCTTTGAAGAAAAATAACGGATTTTCTTTAAGAGGTTTATTGTGGCACAGACTTCCTAGTTCTTGGCAGCACCTGGGACGTTCATGGGTGCAATCATGGCATTCAGCTCCCTGAGGTGAACCAGCGCTGTGCACTGCGCGGTGGTTTGGGGCTGAGACGTACCCTGGCCAGATGTACGGACCCTGTCTGTTACAACAGCGTGTGAAATTTGGTAGCTCCCTGTACTGGAGGGAGCTGGCGCTGGAGGATACTGGGAGGGCTGACATGGGTGCTGCATCTCAGGGCGCTGTCTCTGAGCAGGAGGGGCTGCTTCATGCCAGCTGCCCTCCTGCCTGTCTGAATTACCGTTTTCTCCCTCTCCCTGTAGACGTGAAAGCGCCGTGTGAGGCACTTCCTTCCCCCAGCCTGGAGCCCTACCCGCAGAGCTCCATTGTGGTCACCCTCGAGGACATGGGTCTCTGGATGAAGTTTCATCAGATAGGAACTGAGATGATCATCACCAAATCCGGCAGGTGAGGGGAGCAGGGCAGCCGCCCACACCACACCCCTCCAAGCTGTTAGCAAAATCTCCGAGTGCTCATTTTTTGAATGGTGGCTCTTAAACTAGTTTTGTGGCTGATTATGCACATCTCTCTGCCCCTGGCAGAAGAATTGCACTTTCAGGATGTTGAAGTCCGAACTGTGAAGTGCAAAAGGTCACTGTGGGGCTGATGTGCTGAGAAAACTTCTGGGCTCTTATCTCAGCACTTAACACTGATGTTCTTCCTGTCGCTGCGAGGTTGCTCTGGAAGGTGCCCTGGGTTTCCTTTGCCTCGGTCATAGGCAGCAGCAGTTGAGCAGTAAATACCTGGTTTTGAGTCTGCCATTTGCAGAGAAGAACATGGCGTAGAATAGTAATGATCTGTGCATGCAGACTACTCTAAAGTTGAAATGAGTCATGCATTGTGGAGCTTGCAGTGAAAGAATACGAAATTGTGAATTTGTAATATATTATGTCAAAGCTGCTGTGAGCTGAAATAATCCCTTTGGGTAGGGAGGTAGGTGTCGGAGCTTTTTTGCAGAATCAGAAAATGAAAGTGGTGGCAGGGAGTACTGGAACGGAAAGCTAGATGTGCTCTTAGATGAGAGCACGTTTTCTATCTGCACTAGAAAATGCTCTGATCTATCCTCAGGTCTGTGACAGCTGCAGAAGGCTAGGAACTATGTGCAAATTCCAGATATTTTAAGTTTCCTACTGTTGTGTTACAGGAATCAGAAGAACAAAAGCAGTAACAATGTCAGGCCATCAGTGACTGCTGCTGCTCTGTTAGTGCCTATTCCACCTAAACCCATAGGATTAGACAATACATCAATAAAATGGTAAAAATGTTCAATAGCTGACCTCTAGAAATACTGCTACCAGAACTTTGCAAAATAGTGAGTAAACATGACCTGCTGCTTGATCATTAGACAATATCCACTTTATAGAGAAATCCTTATACTGTATATTTCATTTCTCCTTCAGACGAATGTTTCCACAATGCAAAATCAAAGTCTCCGGCTTAATCCCATATGCCAAGTACCTCATGCTGGTAGATTTTGTGCCAATGGACAACTTCAGGTACAAGGTAGGTACTTTAAATAATAGTAAGTTATGCTGTCCTTCCATCTTCATTTGAAATGGATTAATCTTTGTGCTTCACTGGCCAGGCTGATAAATAATTTGTCTTTGGACAAAGTTCAGAAGTGATTGGTGGATTTTATGCCTCTCTGAAGTTATTTGTCAGTTTTGCTTGGGGAGCAGCTGGAAAGGTAACTAATTTTCATTGTAAGTGGTACAGTCTTAATCATGATTAATGTCAGACTTCTCTGACAGCCATTGGGAGAAAGGGAGGAAAAATGACGCCTAAACTTGGAGCTGTTTTGGTAACATGGTCATGGCTTATAAGAGAGAATCTGCTTCTTGTCAGGACTGTGCTTCAGAGGGTCCACTAAATCAACAGTGAAGCAAAGTTGCTGGGGTTTTGCTATAATGAAAGTAATTATTTTAAGCTCTAGATTTCCGTCTTTCCCTTCACAGTGGAATAAAGATCAGTGGGAAGTTGCTGGAAAAGCAGAGCCCCAGCTCCCTTGTCGCACCTATGTCCACCCAGATTCCCCAGCTCCTGGCAGCCACTGGATGAAAGAACCCGTCTCCTTCCAAAAACTGAAGCTCACCAACAACACTCTGGATCAACATGGGCATGTAGGTTGTAGCTGGCCTTTGTGCTGTGCTCTCATGGAATTCATTGCAGATGGATGTTAAGGGAAGTAAGTGAGATCTGTAAGAAATTAGATCATGTGGAAATTAAAATGTATCCAAGTGCCCTCTCTTCCTTCCTCAGCCCAGCCCTGGTGCTCTCTTAACTACCTGTGAGGGAAGGCTTTACTCTGTACTGCCACTACAGAGGCATGGTGGAGACACCCGTCCCAGGCAGGCATCCCTGGTTTGAAATGGGTGTCCTGGGAGTCTCCAGAGGAGACTTTGCGCAGTGTGTTTGCAGTGGTTGCACATAAGAAACTTTCTCCTTTGTCTGTCCCTGTGCCAGATCATCCTCCACTCCATGCACCGTTACAAGCCCCGCTTCCACATTGTGCAGGCAGATGACCTCTTTAGTGTCCGCTGGAGCATATTCCAAGTCTTCAGCTTCCCTGAGACTGTCTTCACTTCTGTTACTGCCTACCAGAATGAGCAGGTACAGTGTGCAAGTACTGCCCTTGGACACGTTTGTCTTTAGAAATCTTGTAGAGGAAGGTGTCTCCTTCCAAGCTAATCACCCTGGGTGCCTGTGACGGACAGTGGAAAGAAATAGGCACATTATGGTTCCTGTGGAAAACTTCTACTCTCGGATGATATGAATCATGAACCTTAATTGTATTAAATGTGCTGTCAGTGATTAACAGGAACCCTTAACGTAGTAAAAAGTATGGGCAAAAGTCCAGATATAGATACTTACCCTGCGTATTTCTCTAGTCAGATGAATCCCACACAAATTCCTGCT